GAGGCCTCCCAGCTACACAGAGCAAAAATTCCCATTTGCACATAATCTAGTGGGAGTTGTGGCCCTTGGGCAATCTGCATCAGCAGACCCGCGGGCTTTCTGGCCATCAGCCAAGCAATGATGCTTCTTTTATCTGTGAATACACACAACTGATAAACTGTCCGTAGGAGGCCTGATTTCAGCCATGCTATTCCTTGAGATAAAGTATATAATTTTTTATAACAAAAATGGGAGAACAAAGGCATAAAATGCTCTCCAATCTTTACATCCTGCACTTTGTCTTATAAATTTTTGTATGCTTTCAACTTCGTAACTGTTAGTGAACAGTGCCCCAAACGAGAAGAGAATCTATGTAACTGGATGTACTCATTAAGGGAGGCAGCTACTGCAGAAGCCAGATCATCCCCACCGAGTTTGCTCTTGGATAAACCTCTTCTTCTCCAGCCACCATAAAACGAGGCATGGGCGAAAGGCCTTGTTATCAGTTCCTCTTTAGGCCTTTGAAGGAGTTCAAGTGGAGCCACCTCATCAGAAAAGAACAGATAAAACAACAGCATGAGCAATATCTAATTATTACTTAATATTATTTTAAGTAGAAAATGGAAGGACCTTTTCAAAAATCCCTCTAAATGGTATCCGTTTCTTAGACTTCTTAACTTTTCATTCTTTGCCTTATTAAGAAGCTACTGATTCATCTGGAGTCTGACAAGGAGAAGAGTCTCCTCTGATCTTTGGCTCCAAATTCCCTGTAACACATTCAGGTGTTGTCATCTGCAAATTAAGGTCATACGTGAAATCATAATTTTAATAGCCTAATGAGTAACAGCAAGGTTTGCCCTTTTGTGAGAAGAGAGCTTGTAAGTTGACACACGGCTTGGCAGCTTACCAGTACTTCCCTATTTTCTCTTTACCCTTTTTGTGATTTGCAGAAAATTCTAAAGACTCTCCAAAAATCTGAAGGGAAAGTCCACTTTATCCATTAAATAGGAATGGCCTAAGGCAAAACCCTTTTGAGAAGTCATAAATAAAATTCTTGTACCCCTCAAGACAACCACGGAATTAGATCTTGAAACTACAAATTGCCAACAAAGGAAAAAATGTCAACAGTCTTAACCAAAAATCTGAAACAAAAAAAATCAAACACACACAAAAAATCAAAACACATACCAACTCCTGTCCCCCTTGGTTCACTCTGTTGCTGCCACACCGCCTCCCGGTCGAGGCATCAACACGCCAGGCGCACTCCTGCTTCATGGGCTTTGCACTTGCTCTGGCCTCTGCCTGGAATGCTCTCCCCCTCTCTCATGACGCGCACACTGCTTATGCCCTCTCTTCCTTTAGGTCTTTATCAAAAGTCACCTTCTCAGCGAGTAGCCACCTCTTACTGACTGACTGCCTCCCCTACGAGAAGGTGAGCTCCATGAGGACAGAGATTACTGTCTGATTTTTCATTGCTTTAGCACCAGACATCTTTCATTTAAAAGTAATAAATTCACTAATCAAAACTCTAGCAAAATTTCAATACCGGACTTTGGATATCAAAATATAATAAACATTTAAATATAGTATCCTCCTGAGTCTATTCATTATAGTACATTAAAAGTGAAATATATTGCAAGTAAAAAATAGACAAGGTGTTCCTGACTCGGGTGACCAAACATCTCTATCGTGCTTAAGAGGGCAAACAGTTTTATTTATACTAGCTAAACTCAGGATGAGAAGAAAGGCAATGGGTCTGTTATACAGGAAAAGAGAAAGCAAAGCAACTATAAGAGAAATGTGATATCCCTCTTGCCCCCTATGTGGTACTGACACCAGGTTGAGAGCTGGTAAGCCTAAAACTGGATGCTCCACGGTAAGAAGAGAAGATGCTACAGGAGAGGAGGGGAAAGGAACAACATCCCAGGCAGCCCAGGGCAGCTAAGGCATTAGTCCAAGACCGCAAGGGGCAGATGGTAGATACTCTCTGGAAGCATTACCTGAGGGGAAAAAATGGACTACAAGTCACCAACTGCCAGTTTCCACAGAGCAGGCAAGAGAGGTGTCAGTTATCTCGTGGACAAGGGTCATCACCACAAAGACCAGAGGAGCCAGAGGACAATATGCGACACCCATACAGAGGTGAGGGCCCCTCCCTTCATACCAGGGCAGTAGAGTCAACTCCCCCAGGCACACTGGGAGGAAAGGGTGAGGGGCAGAAGTCTAAGAGACTGCAGGCTTTTCTTAGAGAACCTGAGCAATAACATTTAATAGAGATTTTATTTATTTATTTTTTCCCCCAAAGCCCCAGTAGATAGTTGTATGTCATAGCTGCACATCCTTCCAGTTGCTGTATGTGGGACTCGGCCCCAGGATGAACGGAGAAGTGGTGCCTCAGTGCGCACCCGGGATCCAAACCCGGGCCGCCAGCATCGGCGCGTGCACTTAACCACCAAGCCACAGGGCCGGCCCTGAGCAATAACATTTAAATGAACCATTTACACTTTGAATAGGACTAAGTTTTAAATGGTAATTTTTCCTCTACCAAGCAAGACATCAAAAAGTATCAGATTACCTATAGACTAAATAAATATATTCTCCTCACATTTGAATTGTAATGTCAGTAAATATACAAAATGATTTTAAAAGCATCAGCATCCCAACACTAGAAGAAACGATAATTATGTGACTATGTGATGCAACAGAGGTATTAACTAACACTACAACGGCAGCCATATGGCAACCATATTGCAACATAAATGTATCAAAGCAATATGTTGTACACTTTAAACTTAAACAATGTCATATGTCAATTATATCTCAATAAAAAAACATTTTCTTAAAGCATCAGCAAATATATGATCACATGTGAGAAAGAATTTCTTAGGCATAAAAGCAGTGGAAGATATCACAAAAAAAAAATTAACAGATTAGACCACATAACATTTAAAACTGTAGTACATTAAAAAGAAACACAAAACTAAAAGCCAATTTTTTTGTGTGTGTGAGGAAGCTCGACCCTGAGCTAATACCTGTCAATCCTCCCCTTTTGGCTGAGGAAGAGTGGCCCTGGGCTAACATCTGTGCCCATCTTCCTCCACTTTATATGGGACGCCGCCACAGCATGGCCTGACAAGCCGTGCGCCAGTGCGCGCCCGGGATCCGAACCGCCGAACCCCGGGCCGCCGCAGCAGAGTGCGCGCACTTAACCGCTTGCGCCACCGGGCTGGCCCCAGAAAAGCCAATTTTTTAAAAGCAGGAAAATTAAACAAATAAAATAGACAATGCTAATACCCTCAACACATAAACATTTGAAGACTGGTCAAGGAATGCAGTAAAATTTAGCAAATTAAAATAGAGAAATCAAAAAGGACAAGCAACTAATAAATGCTTGAAAAACTGTTTGGCCTCACAATAAGTAATCAATAAACCAAAATTTTAAAACATTCCACTTTTTAACTATCAAACAAGACAATGTGTTTTAAATTCGGTGTTGTCAGAATGGTATGGAATATACTATAAGAAATTAGTACCAACTTTAATGTAACTAGACAATACATTATTCTTTTTAATCCAATATTCCCTTTATAGTAATTTTAAGGAAATAATCAGTGATATGAACTAAAATTTGAACATAAAGACTGTTTACTGCAACATTATTTATAATTGTCCAAAAAAAAGGGAAACAACCTAGATGATCAAAAACAGGCATATTTTGTTTATAGACTAATGAAGTATTCCTTGCTTACACCTATTTATATACTTGTAAAGTACACCCTGGCCATATGAAGCATTATATAGCCAGCAAAAATATTTTTCAAAGGTTAAAGATATGAAAAATGATAAGTATATTAAGTGAAAAGAGGGCACAATATTGCACATACAAAATGAATAAATTATCATCTATTCATACAAAGGAACATTATTTGGCAATAAAAACGGCAAAACCCAGATACAGGCAACATGGAGGAATCTCAAAAAACAAAAGCAAACAAAACAAGAATACCATTATACAAAGTGAAAAAAGCCAGACACAAAAGACTAAATACTTAATGAGTCTATTTATATGAAGATCATTGGCAGGCAAAACCAATCTATGGTGATAGAAAGAGGTTATTTCTGGAGGAGGAGTATCAGGTGCAAATAGGGTTGAGGAAACTCTCAGGGGTGATGGAAACACACTGGATCTTGATTGGGGTAGTGATCACATGAGGATATACATATGTAAAGGTCATCAAGTAAAGTATAAATACAGATACACATAAATAAAGTAATAAAATAAAGTCATTGAGATGTACATTTAAGATTTGTGCATTTTACCCTTCATACATTATACCTGCATTAAGGACTACGAAATTGCATACAAAGGATAACTTCAAATTGGTTAAATATATTTATATACAAAGAATAAAAAGAATGTAAAGTACATCAAAATATTAAAAGTGTTTAATTCTGGGATTGCAAATTATATTTTCTCTTTAACTTTCTGCATTTTCCACATTCTCTATAATGAGTTATACGGTTTTTACAAATGATCAGAAAAAAAACTACACTTTTTTTTTTACTTCTGCCAGGTTTTTGAAGAAAATTCTGTTACATTTGTTAACTATCACAAAATTATGCAATGTGCAGAAGACTTAGTAAATTTTTCCAACAAATTTCCTATAAGTTACAAACACTCATGTTTGCAATGTATTAGGACAAATTAAGAAAAAAACTAATGAGGCTAAGCATCTGCTTGGTGAGGAAATGAGCAAGTCACCTGGAAAGTAAGCACTATCATGGGAAACAATTTTAAAACGTGGTCCTGCCTGCGACAAATACAGGGCTCTCATGACCCAATAAAACCAGTTATTGTTTTTAATTTATCACTTTATTCCTTGTGAGCCTGATTTATCTCAATTCCATACAAAATGCCTGAAGTGAATTTTCTTTACAATGAAAATACTCTGAGTTTCAGAAACTTTTACAATATGCATAAAATAATAAATAAGGACAAAAACCAAAGAAGACATACAAACCTCTGATTGTACATGCCCCGAAAGTTGTAATTGGCTCTGTAATTTGGGAAGGGCTTTGGATCTAACGGCCTGTAGATGGCAGGCTCTCCCCTTTTCATAGCAAGCCCATTCAGCTCCACGGTTGGAGTTATACTACCTGTTTAAAAAAGATAAAGGCACACAAGTGAAATATTTCCACAATACATCATGCAAGCTACATTTACATTACTTATAATTTCCATGGAAAAAGGTGGGAGTGGATGGTCCATCTGTATGATTTTCTAAGGGGGGTGCAGCACAAACAAACTACATAAACAGGAAAATCATTTCTCATGAAATCTCCTTGGGGTTTTTGCAACATTTTCTGTACATTAATGACCAAAAATTCAACTTTACAGTCATTTTAAACAAGTAGTACTTTAAAACAAGGCAAACACGAGATTCACAGATTGCTTAGCTTGGATATTATAACAAAAGCAATGAACTTTACTTAACCCAGAAAGCTTATAATTATTTAGTCATTAAAAACATTATCCTCTGTGAATATTTTTATGTATGTTTGGTAACCAGGCAACTAAAATTAGCAATGAATAAGGGTCATTGGTAATTCTTGGACTTACCTAATGCAAATAAATTTTGAGTTTTTTCAATGACCCAATAACAGGACAAAGTAAATATAACTAATGTTTACTGTAGATAATCTTTAAAGATACATACTAAAATATTTATGGATGAAGTGATATATGTGAGGTTTGTTTCAAAACAATTCAGAGGAGAGACAGATGAGAAACAAGCTTGGCTGCCATGTGTGGAACCTGTTGACGCTGGTGATGGGTACAGGGACATTCACTATCTCATTCTCTCTACTTTTGTAAAGGTTTGAAAACTTCCATAATAAATAACACACAATGTAAAATTATTACATCAAGTTATTTAAAGTACCAAAGGAGGTTATTTAATAAAGCATATGTATATATGTTCCATATCACAAATCACCAAAACGAATCTAAAGCTTTTACACAAAGTAAAATTTATTTTCAATGTAAACTCTGTACTATTTCATTCGAATTGTGCCTTCTGCACCATACATTTAAGACTCCAGTCATCACGCACAAAAACGCGTCCACTTATTGCAGCAGACAAATCCGAGCTGGCAGCCAGTAGCAGCCAGGGGGTAGGGGAGCCTGACGCAAATGCACAACTGGCAGCCAGGTCATAAGCAAGGCATCAGGAGTCAATAAACTGCTCACTTATATCTCATTTCTGAAGAATTCTTGTGAAACCACGGAAGAATATAACAAGAACAGGAACTAAACCGAGGTTAAGAAGAAGGGAAAAATAAAGGAGGCAGCGGAAAAGAAAAAGATAAGAAAAACAGCAAAGAAAAGTTAACATTGAATAGTAAGTCCAATTAGTCCAAATCCCTAATTTAATAAATACACTCAGGGTAGAGGAAGAGAAAGGCAAACATACAGGGATTCTCTTTTCTTTCTTTCTCTTTTACAGTATTTTACTGAGGTATAATAAGTAAAGTGCACAGACCGTAAGAACACAGTTCCCTGAATTATTACAGATGTAAACACTCACGTGACCACCACTCAGACCAAGATATGAACATTTCCGCTACCCAGAAAGTTCCTTCACGGCTTTTCCAGGCAATACCCACCTCCCCAACTTACCTATTCTGACTTCTATAACCATAAATTAGTTTTGTCTGTTCTTCAAATCTGAATATGTATTATTTTGTCTTGCTTCTTTCACTCCACATAATGATTTTGTTGAATATATCAGTATTTCAAACTTCTTTATCACTGAATAGTATTCCACTGAATGAATATACCAGTTTATCTATTCTGCTGTTGATGGGACATTTGGGTTGTTTCCAGTTTGGGACAATTAAGTTAAAGCCACCTTGAACACTTTTTAATAAGTCTTTTAGCAGACACAGACACTTATTTCTTCTGGGTATACTCATTTGGGTAAATATCTAGTAGTGGAATTGCTAGGTCATAAAGTAGGTTTATGTTTAACTTTATTAGAAATTGCCTAACAGTTTTCCAAAGACTTTTTTAACACCAAAGAGCAACCTATGCCTTTAAAAGTTTAAACTTTTCTTATTTCATAAAGATTTCAGTTTAATAATTAACACGTTAATCAGTTATAAGATTTATGTCATTTTGAATTCTACTTTGCAATAATCATACACACACAAATAGCAGAAAGTTCAAATGGAAAAAAGAGTAAAGAAAAAAAAGCTTGAAAGACTTCATCCTTTAAGTATGGTAACAAACAGGAAACTAATGTGTTTGCAAATCACAGTGACGTGATTTTAATGCACTGGTAGGATACAATATGTCTGCCACAAACACCAAAATTGGAATTTAAATTAGGTAAAAGCATTGTATTCACATCATTTAAATAAATAAATAATCTCATATAAAGTCCTCATTTGAAAGTAAGGCTACAGTATATTTTTGTCATAGAAATGCTAGAAACTGGTCTTTGTGAATGGGAGTAGAAGAGCACCAGAAAAGCACAAACTATGCTGAGGTGGTTTCAACTCTTTTAGAGCAAAGTATCTCCATCTGCTTCATAAAGAACTAGACTGACATCTCCACTTACACAGTCTCTACTCACACGGTAATGCTTTCACAGAAAACATTGGAAGGATAACTTCACACTATGAGATACCTTCAGGTAATGCTAAGTATCAGCGTTTTCAGCATGTGAGAGTTGGACTCAGGTTGCATAAAGATAATCATTACAGAGGAATCCTCATGTATTACATGGCTACAAAGTTGACACTGTACACACATAATCAGTTTTTAGTGGTTTTTAGATATATTAAAGAAAATTTCTACATTTATCAGTGATAAACATAGGAAGTCTAATTAATTAGATATACAAACGTACACAGCAACAATTGTGGATTCCTATTACGTGACAGGTGAAAGAAAAATGCCACAACTAGTTTTCAAGGAGCAACATATTACTAACACTTGAGGAAATAGCTTTGTAGGAAGTTAGAATAGTCCCCGGAACATAGTAGTCACTCAATAAATATTCGTTGAAAGAATGAATTGATTATCAATCAAGTAGGGCTCCCTGGAGAAACAGCTGGCCCCACGGTCTGGGCAACGAAAATACAAGATGGCCTAGGAACGTTTTATTGTGCCAGAAAGTAAGAATTGCTCAAAGAATGACGAGGAAACATCAGAAGGACACAGGAGTCGACTTGAAGGGGCCATACCATGGGCCAAATCTGGGACAAGTTGAGAATCAAAATAAATGATCGATTATAAGCCTCTAAGTAAAATAGGAATCTAAGAGTCTATAGTGACATAAATAAACCAACAAACAAACAAAAACACGAGGGGGAAGAGAAAGCTCTTGGGTAGAATACCAACTAACAAATCTAAAAGGAATACCGGAATTAAAAGATCATCCTTTGGGAGAGAATAAATTACTGTTGTTTCAAGCCACACTCTCAAAAAAATCACTCTTTGGCAATCTTCAGAGTAATAATTGATTCAGACAAGAATCATCAATGGATGCCAAATCTGGTGGGCGAAAGAAAATTTGATGAGGAACAAAATGTTTATACAGTCTCAAAATATCTTTTCAAAAAATACTTATTATTTACTTACTATTTAATAATAAAACACATTTATTAACTTTACAACAGAGAAACCTGGCAGACATACTCCTCACCAAGTGACAGAAGTCATCACTAATAAGACAAATCAATATTGGTATCTCCTGATATGTAACACTGAGATTAGCCCAGGTCGCTTCTGCAATATTCATGCTAAAAATGCATAAATCATGAGGAAACACCAGAAAAACTTAGTTGAAGGGCATTCTACAAACGATGTGGCCTGTATTCTTCAAAAATGTCATGGTCGGGCCGGCCCCATGGCTTAGCGGTTAAGTGCACACACTCCGCTACTGGCGGCTCAGGTTCGATCCCCGGCACGCACCTACGCACCGCTTCTCTGGCCATGCTGAGGCTGCGTCCCACATACAGCAACTAGAAGGATGTGCAACTATGACATACAACTATCTACCGGGGCTTTGGGGGGAAAAAAAAAAGGAGAAAGATTGGCAATAGACGTTAGCTCAGAGCCGGTCTTCCTCAGCAAAAAGAGGAGGATTAGCATGGATGTTAGCTCAGGGCTGATCTTCCTCACAAAAAAAAAAAAAAATGTCATGGTCATACAAGACAAGGAAGACTGAGGAACTGATGGAGACTGCAGTCAAATGAAGAGAAATACATACATGATCCTGATTAGATCCTGGACCTACAAAGGGCACTACTGGGACAATCAATGAAATCTGAACGGAGTTTGTGGATTACACAGTAATACCGGACCAACGTGAACTTCCTGCCAGGAGAGTGTCCATGTCCTCAGGAAATACACATTGAAGGCGTAATGGGATGTCATGTCCACAGCTTATTCTCAAATAGTCCGGAAACGTTAACAATTGGGGGATCTGGGTGAAAGGTACATGGGAGCTCTACATACTCTTTCTACAAACTTTATATAAATCTGAAATTATTTCCAAAAAGAGTTAAAAAAATAAAATAAAAGGAAGGAGAAAACAAAATAGTTCTATGATATATTCTTTTTTTTTTTTTTAAAGATTTTATTTATTTTACTTTTTCCTCCCAAAGCCCCAGTAGATAGTTGTATGTCATAGCTGCACATCCTTCTAGTTGCTGTATGTGGGACTCAGCCTCAGGATGGACGGAGAAGTGGTGCCTCGATGCACACCCGGGATCCGAACCCGGGCCACCAGCATTGCAGCGCGTGCACTTAACCACCAAGCCACAGGGCCGGCCCTCTATGATATATTCTTAATTAACTGGGAGACTAAGCATGCTGGAAATGAATTTAACTCCTCTCCGGGGTATAACTACTATTTAAGACCACTCTATTCGTATGAAATCAGGACTAAACTCTCTTCTCCTCTGCAGTGTAGATAAAAATGGATTATCTTAATAAATGGTGCTGAGGTAACTGAATGTCTATATATTAAACAGAAGAAGAAAAATCTTGAACCCAAAACTCACATCATACATAAACCTCAATTCTTAACAGATTATAGCTTTAAATTTAAAAGATAAAATAACAAAGCTTCTAAAAATAATATGAG